TACGATGGACCACAGATCTGGTCCAATGAGCTCACCCCACGTAACTTAAAAACTTGGAGGTTTTTTTGTCACTCGCCTTTCGTAATCTAACCTTGATATCAGTATGCATATTTTCCATACTGTTCTCCAAACACTGCCTAAGATGCTGACAAGGAGAATTTGTTTACTACGGTGGCCCACAACTGTCATGGCAAAAGAAATAACCTCGCGGCAAAAGAAATAACCTCTCGGTAAAAGAAAAAGACTCACAGAAAGAGAAGAACCTTCCGGCAAAAGATAAAACCTCACGGCAAAAGAAATAACCTCACCGCGGCAAAAGAAAAAACCTCACGGCAAAAGAAAAAACCCCGCGGAAAAATAAAAAATCTCACGGCAAAAGAAATAACCTCACGGCAAAAGAAATAACCTCACGGCAAAAGAAATAACCTCACGACAAAAGATAACTTCACGGCAAAAGAAATAACCTCACGGCACAAGAAATAACCTCACGGCAAAAGAAATCACCTGACGGCAAAAGAAATAACCTCACGGCAAAAGAAATAACTTCACGGCAAAAGAAATAACCTCACGGCAAAAGAAATAACCTCACGGCAAAAGAAGTAACCTCTCGGCAAAAGAAATAACCGCGTCCTCACGGCAGAAAAGAAAGCGTGTGGGCTCGACAACTCGTCCCAGCTCTCTTTTATGCCTTGAGGACATTGTTATTTCTTTTGCCGTGACGTTTTTTTTGCCATGAGGTTATTTCTTTTGCCGTGAGTCTTTTTTTTTTCTGCGAGGTTTTTTCCTTTTGCCGTGAGTTTTTTTCTTTTTACCGTGAGGTTTTTTCTTTTGCTGCGAGTCTTTTTCTTTTTGCTGTGAGTCTTTTCCTTTTGCTGCTAGATTTTTTCTTTTCCCACGAGGTTATATCTTTTGCCGTAACAGTCGTGGGCCACCGTAGTTGACAACTAAGAGGTCAAAGGGTAAAGCAGCTATGTACTAGTGTAGACTGGCATTTTCTTAATTCACAATGTAAGCACTTCGATATCTATTGCAGTGTTATGCAGTCAAATATGCGTGGAAAAGAGGAGGGAAGTTTTGTTTCTCAGCTCTAATCCACGGGTTTATTACGAACTCACTGTGACTAGCTCCAAGTGGGCTTGTTGGCTCAGTTAGTAAAGCACTGCACCGGTATCGCAGAGGTCATGGGTTCAAAACCTGCGCAGGCCTGAATTTTTGTCAAGCCTTATAGTCGCTACTGCTTAGGTAGTGTTCAATACTGCGAAGATCGCTTTCATATTCATTTCCTCAAATTGCAGTTCTCGTATATGATTTTCATTTATTTATAGTCAATAAAAAATACCGTTGGTTTTCCTTATTCTTAGCGGCTGTGTGTTTGCCATACTGTTTCCGCTTTTTATTATCAGTGGGAATCAAGCAAACGTCGTAGAAACAAAGTAAGTCATTTTATTTCCTTGAAGATATCGTTAAGCTTTCGTGGCCTATCGGTTTGCACAAACTTCCTCC